GGGGGGGGAGGAGGAGGAGGAGGAGGATGTACTGGTGGCATGTCAGGCACAGAGATCACTTGTATCTCCCGATCGTGCCCTTCGAAAGGATACGGAGAACCGATTACCGGTTTAGGTGGTTGCCTTTGAGGAACGAGAATGACTCTACTGCCGGCGACCGCGTTGCTTTGAACACCTCCTGGTGAATAGTAGCCAATTGGCAATCCCGCGCCAATGTCCGTTTTCGAATTGCCGTGCACACCTGTATCGCCCGGGGTGACTTCTGGTGAGTAGTAACTGCTCGGTAATCTCGTACCGCCGATATGATTCGATTTCGCATTTGCATCGGCAATCGGATGGAGAGTGATCTGAATTCGTCCAGGAGGAGAATAGTAGCCGCCGGGAGATCTCGACCCGCTGATTGAATTTGCCTTTGCGTCTGCGTTCGCAGTCGCGCCACCGTTAGTCTGAAGATTTCCAGGGTTGTAATAGCCACCGAATGACCCATCGCCATTGTTCAACGCAGTTTTACCATCCGCGTTCGTGTCGGCCGGAACGTATTGAGGGGAATAATAATCGGTCGGTGATGCACCGCTGTTAGAGATGGCGATGGCATTGGCATTCGAATTCGCGTTGGCGTTCGAGTTTGCACCTTCGTTCGCGTTTAGATACGCATTAGCATTTGCACCGGCGCTTGCGACGCCGTTCGCGCCAGAATTACTACCGTGATTCGCGTTCGTGATCGGCTGAAAACCGTCGGCGTATTCTTGGAAGCTCGCCGGGACATAGCCGCCGCCAGCGATGTTAGAATTATAATCTGGCCCTGTTGAACCGGCGTAACCTACGCCCAAAGAAAATTCAACGCTTTTTACGCTATCGAGAGAACGCTCGGGCGATCAAACGACGATTCGCTTGTTGTTTAAGAATCTCGCTTCTAACATAAGAAAATTCCTACATGATCATGAGAAAGATGTAGACATCCGCTTGTAGAAGGATGATTTTGAAATTTAAATAATTTAAACGATTATTATAGTATTCTTTTGTATTAAATACCTTGGGCAAATGCATTGGCGTCAGCCTTCGCAGAGGCTCCTCCGGTGGCCTGAGAATTCGCGTTGGAAGTTGCAACACCGTTGCCTTGAGCCGTTGCCGAGGAGCTGGCTATGCTACTCGAAATCGAGAGTCCTCCTAATTGCAGATTGGACCCGAACGAGTGCGAATTGCTCGAACTCTGAGGCTCCTTATGTAACAGACCCAATGGGTCCAACAGACTGTGTTTGCGGTTCTTTACCAAATCTAGGAGCACGCCTGTGAAGTAAAATTAATAAAATAATCTACGTTTTAATAAAAGAA